TGTTTCATCCGAATTGGGGTTTTAAGTCCCTCACATGCGTTATGTACACTCCACATGAATGATATTTGGTACCGGACATCAGATACTGCTCGAAAATACCTCTGTCAAATTTTGTCAAGATATATATATATATATATATATATATATATATATATATATATATATATATATATTATATATATATATATAATATATATATATTATATATATATATATATATAATATATATATATATATATATATATATATATATATATATATATATATATATATATATATATATATATATATATCTTGACAAAATTTGACAGAGGTATGGAAGGAGGGCAAAATAATTTCTAAATAGTCAAAGTTAATTACGCTTTTACACCCATTACCATAGCACCTCAAATTGCGCATTAGAGTCCCCAAAAAGTCTATGTTCTTGTTCATGGTAAAATTCAATAACGATTAAACAATACACGCGTTGTTATCCGCCAATCGGTAAACATCACTATAGATCGGCGGGCCTGGGGACTATATGGTGACTGTACCAAAATATTTACGTATGTTGACATTTTTCTGTAAGATGGTTCTCTACTCACAAAGTAGCCTAAATACAGCAAATAATGGCCAAATCACTTGAAAAACGTGGCCAAGACCACGGTCACAGCTGTCAGGTCAGGGATACATTTATATAAGGGTTATACCAAAACGTGGCCCAACCAATATTCTCTTGGGGGTTACAAATTCAATAGAAAACAACATTTTTTTTCTGACCACCAATTAGATGTGAAAGTGGACTTGGGAATACGCCAATGTGGGGACTTTACTTAAATAAATTCCTATGTGGCAATTATCTGTATGATGGTTCCCTACCCCAGAGTAGCATAAATACAACCTTTAGCCAAGTCAATTAATGAATGTGGTCAAGACCAAAATGGGCCCTACTCTGAAAATTTCAAACTTTATGCGAAGAGGTTCTCTACCTCCTTAGAAACAACCAGTAAGGAAAGCTCAAAAGTCGGGCGGGGCCGACTTTATGATACCCTACACCACTATGCATATTAAGTAGAGCTCTCGTAAAAGGGTTTATACAGGGCATTTCAGAGCTCTATGAGATATTTGGTACAAAATCAAAATCTATCTAATTCTATCGTGCATTTTACGAACTATAACTATCTGTGAACCTGGTTTCTCCAAATTTGACGTATTAGCTTCTAGACTGAATTCGGTCTTATGTACGAAAATTCAGGTGATTTGGTGATCTGAACCGATTTCGATAAAATTTAAAACAGCTATTCATGTGCTTCATCTAATACCTGGTACCAAATATCACGGTTGTGGAGTGAATATTACGAATGTAAAGGTCTAAAACACTAAATCAGATGAAACATATATATGGTTGCTATATCTAAATCTGAACCGATTTTCACTAAATTTGATATACTTGCTTCTAGGCTGAATTTGGTCCGATGTACTAAAATTCAGTCCATTTGGACTTATATCGGCCATTTGGTGCACAATTAACCCGAAATCGGATGAAGATATATATGGGAGCTATATCCAAATCTGAACCGATTTCGATAAAATTACAAACAGCTATTTCTGGGCTGTATCTTATATCTGGTACCAAATATCATTCTTGTGGAGTGCATATTACGAATGTGAGAGGCTTAAACACCAAATCGGATAAAACATGTATATGGGAGCTATAGCTGTCTCTGAACCGATTTTCTCCAAATTTGTTGTATTTGCTTTAAGGCTAATCTCGGTCACATATGCCAAAATTCGGGCCATTTGGGCTGATATTGGCCATTTGGTGGTCAATTAACCCGAAATCGGATGAATATATATATGGGAGCTATATCCAAATCTGAACCGATTTCGATAAAATTTAAAACAGCTATTTCTGTGCTCCATCTAATACCTGGTACCAAATATCACGGTTGTGGAGTGCATAGTAGGAATGTGAGGGACTTCAAGATCAAATCGGATGAAAGATATATATGGGAGCTATAGCTATATCTGAACCGATTTTCTCCAAATTTGATATACTTGCTTCTAGGCCGAACTCGGTTGGGTGTGCCAAAATTCAGGTAATTTGGACTGATAGTGGACATTTGGTGCACATTTAACCCGAAATCGGATGAAGATATATATGGGAGCTATAGCTGTTTCTGAACCGATTTTCTCCAAATTTGTTGTATTTGCTTTAAGGCTAATCTCGGTCACATGTGCCAAAATTCGGGCCATTTGGGCTGATATTGGTCATTTGGTGGTCAATTAACCCGAAATCGGATGAAGATATATATGGGAGCTATATCCAAATCTGAACCGATTTCAATAAAATTTAAAACAGCTATTTCTGTGCTCCATCTAATACCTGGTACCAAATATCACGGTTGTGGAGTGCATAGTAGGAATGTGAGGAACTTAAAGATCAAATCGGATGAAAGATATATATGGGAGCTATAGCTATATCTGAACCGATTTTCTCCAAATTTGATATACTTGCTTCTAGGCCGAACTCGGTTGGGTGTGCCAAAATTCAGGTAATTTGGACTGATAGTGGATATTTGGTGCACATTTAACCCGAAATCGGATGAAGATATATATGGGAGCTATATCTAAATTTGATCCGATTCTCACCAATTTCAATAGGGTTCGTCCTTGGGCCAAAAAAATATTGTTTGGAAAATTTCATCTCAATCGGATAATAATTGCGACCTGCATTTTGTTCACAAGAATACATGGACAGACGGACGGACGGACGGACGGACGGACGGACGGACGGACGGACGGACGGACGGACGGACAGACGGACGGACATGCATAAATCGACTCAGAAAGTGATTCTATGAAGGTTCTCAAAAGTAACTATGGGTCTATCTCGTTTCCTTCTCCATGTTACAAACAAATGCACAAAGACATAATACCCTTACCACTATGTGGTGTAGGGTATAAAAATGCCAAATAATGGCTAAAATATTAAAAAAGTGACCAAGACACCAAAAATAGCTTAAATCATACGATGGTCATATAAATATGAAATCGGGTTGTCCCTTATCCGTGAGTTATGATCGATATCATGACCTATCTTGAATGTTTGGGAAGAATTTCTGGAAGGATAGAAATCTTTATCTTACTAAAAGTCCCATTCGCTCTACTATTTTCCACCCTTTATATTTGGTATTTTTCTGATTGTACATTGGACGGATTATTGTGACAGGAAAGAAGTAGTTCCACGCTTTGAAATGATCCCCATTAGGCTTTTTCAGCAATTTTTGTTTGTTCAAATGTGTTCGCATCTTCCAGCTGAACCACGATGTCGGCCCTGGAGTTGAAAGGTAGATGTCAGTTGACATCGTATTTCCTACTTATTTCATTTTTTGGTGAAAATTTGTATATAGTGAAAAATTATTCTTTATTTTGTTCGCAAAAAAATTACTGAATTCAATTAGATAATACAAATTGAAAAAAATTGACAAAAGAAGAATCTTCAACTTGTTCGCTGATTTTTTTACAGCAAATGTTTGGATATTATCCTTTTCGGAGAGTAGAAAATTCCGAATTTGTTTGAATCGTTAAAATCAGTCCAGCGGTTCTTAAGTTATAAGCGTAGTAACTAACACAACTTTCTTTTATATATATATATATATCTTTATCCGATATCAGATAGGTTTTTGCTATAGAAAACATTGCACATTGAGTTTTGGCACCCATATAACGGGTTCTACTGATTAGGGGCATCCGAAAGTCTTGGACCCAATTTCCAAACAAATCAGATGTAATTTGAGTATTCATTGGATAATTAACTCCGGATCAAATAGATTTTGGCTATAGAAAACAGTGCACATTGAGTTTTGGCAACTGGTTCTACTGATTAGGGACATCCGAAGGTCTTGGTCCCGATTTCCAAACAAACCAGATTTAATTTGATACTTCGAGTTCCCATTGGATAAGTAACTCCGGATCGGATATAATTCCCATTGCAATTATGAGGATTATGTACTCTTTTTGGTCATAACACCCACAATAAAGAGTATGGGGAGTATGACAGTTTGCTGAGTTTAGGGCTATCCTTGGATTGACCAGAAATGCTTATTATGGGTAAGTATTTTTAACCTGATTACAACAAAGTATTTTCTTTTTCGTGGGTGAAATACCCGGTTAACTGGTTATTCGACCCAAAAGTTCGGATTCATAATCCGGGCTTTATCCGCAACTGCAACTGATATATACAGACTGTCACAACCCTACAAAACATTTTCAATGTTGGTATTTTTGACTTTTTGGAACCTTCTCTACTCTCAAAAAATTTTCATCTATTTAACGGAACTTTCAAATTTTACGGATTTTAAGGAAATCCGATTTAGCCAGGTCCCATATAACAGTGCCTCCTGCTTTTTGAAATTTTGAAACCTTCTGTACTCTCAAAAAATTTTCATCTATTTAACGGAACTTTCAAATTTTACGGATTTTAAGGAAATCTGATGTAGCCATAAATGAAGCTTTTTACATGGTGGAAGTTATAAAAAGTAAGGTAATGCCAAGTCGACTATTGCCTCATATTCAATTGCATTTTATTTCTTCTTTTAATTATTTTCTCAATTTCTATAGAACAAATAACGGTGAAGAAAAAAGTGAAATAAAATAATAACTTAATACAGCGAATGATATCAAATTATGACGCGAATAACAAATTCATTCAAATGCCAACAGAAACAATGGACACACAAATACAAATTTTTAAACAAAAAATAAGAAACTATTAATGAAGATTTTACGATATGGTCTATTGGCGAGAAGAGACAAGAGCTGCCGGCAGGTGAATAAACTTTTCATTCTTGAGCATAGTTCTTCTTCGGCTCATTCTTGCATAAAGCGTAACATGGGCGATTTCTTTTGTTTTTAAGCGAACAGCCAACTAGCCAACCAACCAACCCACTAACCGGCTAAGCAACCGGCCAACCATCGCAACCACGTTATGACAAATAATTCCGAATAAATTTGAAATATTTTAATAATGTTTTTCATTCTTTGTTTATTATCAGTCGAATAATTCTATAGATGTGCTTAGTTATGTATGTAAATATATGTGTGGGATTTATATGCTATGCATTGGTGTGTATGTATGGTTGTGCGTATGATTTTCACCCTAACAGCAATACTATTTTTATTTATTTCGTATAACGCTTTAGATCACATTTCCTCTTTTTGTTTTTGTTATTGACTAAAAAAATACATATTGGGATCCGGTTTTTAACGATGTTTCTTTTGATCATTTTCTGGATTATAGGGATGTTCTTCCAAATATTTTAAGGTTTTCAATACTGATTCTGGAATTGGTGGTGGTGTGGGTAAGTGAGCGCCAACGGGGCGATAGCCATTCTCATCGGCGGTATAGGAAATGGAATATTCCTCACCATCATCGGAAACGAATGCAAATCTTCCCTGGATTGCTTCACCCTCGTGGCTGTCATCAACGTGTTTCAAAATGCCATCTTGTGTTGCCTTCGAACCATCTCCCAACTCGTAGCTGCAATTAAGTAGAAATGAATAGAAATATATTAGAAAATTATAATGTTGAAATATATATAGAGAGTAGGTATTTAACGAAATTAGTAGACTTGCTAATGATAGTTGTTTGGGTCAATTAAGAAATCGATTTATATATATTTGGATTTTTTGTTTTCATTGTTAAAAACTGGAACCGAATATCCAGTTTGTGGTTATGGTCATTACCAAATTTGTATTTCAATTTTTTTGTTATCTAACATTTTAAAAATGTTATGGTTCCAGTGCTAGAGCAACCCGAGTCTCATATATGAAGGGCTCACAGCTATACCGAACTAAGTCATAAAAACATAATTCCAAGATATTTAGAGGTAAAGTAAATGTACTGCAATTAATTTCTGGAAGCAATATTTTAGTCTACCAAAAGAAAATGTAAAAGTCTATATTCAAAATTAACTAATGATATAAAGTTAAAAGAAAAATAATTTAAATATATTACTAAAAAAATATTCAAAAACAAAAAACCTGCTTTGGTTCGTTATTACTCTGAATAAAATTTGAAGGTTTTACAGCTAAAGCGAACCAAGTCAAATTGTTCATTTTATTACTAAATATAGTTGATGTTCCGCTTGTAATAAGCAACTGATGTTGATAGCTTTGGAAAAGGCAATGCTATTTGAATGTCGAAAGTACAGAAATAGTGCTCATCAGATGGCACTTCTGTATTCAGTGAGTCTCGAGCTAGCTGTGCTGCTTTTAAGTGAAGTTCCTTTTGCCAAATTAAATTTGTATTTTCGTCTTCATCGAATTTTATTTTCATGTTAAGTTCATCACATATTCGAAAGTTATCCTTATTCGGTCAGTGCTTCAGTGGTCCATTCCAACAAGTACCTCCCCCACAAAGGGTAAAAATTTTGAATAATTATAACTCTTATAAAATGTGATGAAAATTTCCGATTGTGTTCAAATTACACAGATCAGAATATTTTTATTAACCCACGCTCTGCTGTGAATATGGAATATATCGCTCCACTACCTCTGGTATCATCCCCACAAAGGGTCAACATTTTGAATATCCATGAAGCTCATAAGACGCGATATTATTCGATTTCATTCAGATTGGGTACATTTAAAAATTTCCTTCAACACAAGATCTGTTATAAAGATGGTAGAGATCGGACCATTTCTTCTGGTACCTTCCCACACAGGGTTCAAGATTTTGAAAAACAAAACTGAAAGAAAACGAAATAATCATCCAACTCCCTTTAGATTTCACACATACAAACATTTTCGCTAACACAATATTTGTTGTGAAGATGGAATATATCTGCGAACCCCTTCCGGTACATCACCCACAAGGGGTCACAATTTTCAATGCCTTTATCTGTCATAACTTGCGAAACAAGTCGATGATTCTTTACAACTTGCTATATCTAAATATTTCTCTCAACCAGAAACATGAGATGAATATGGAATAATGTACGATTTTCTTGTAATTGTGCCCATACTAATATTTAATGTGTATTAGGAAAAATAATATCAAATAAAAAAGCAGTAAGTTCGGTCGGGCCGAGCTTTGAATACCCTCTACCATTTGGAAAGGATTTGGATATTAAAAAATACTTTTGAAAATCATAAAAATACCGAATATAGAGAGTTATCGTAATATGGGGGTATATACGAAAATGTGGACCTGCACAGCCAAGTTTTGTCATAGTCCATTACAATATTCAAATAGGAAACTTGAAAAAATCCGGTAAATAATATCGCAAAAACATCATAATACCGAATACGAAATATGAAAAAAATTGGTGAATAATGTCATTAAAATCATCAAAATACCGATCATTTCCAATACCAAAAGCCTTGTAGACCAAACACACATCTGAGTAAATTTTATCAACCTACTACAAACGCCTCGGAAGCTAGAGTGATTTCCACAGATGGACAGACAGACGGATGGACATCACTAAATCGACATTGAATCATTGCTGATATCTATATATACGCTGATTCAAAGTGAAACACACTGACTTGGTTCATTTTTGCTTTGAATAAAAACGAAAATGACAGTCGTGGACTTAGGTTTTTTAACGTTATCTTTGGAACGAAACACTTTTTAACATTGTGCTTTACAGAGTAAACAGAGTTGCCATATGCGGGGACATTGGCACTAGTTTCGGCATTTTTTATTTTTCATGACTTGGTTCGGTATAGCAGTGAGCCCTCCATATATGGGTATTTGAGACAAAAATAGATGTATCGTAAATGTTTGACAATTCCCAGTTGAAATCTTGAATTCAAATATTATTCCGATTCACATTGTTCAGAGACGAAGTCAATACTAGTTTTAGTCACTGGGAAGTTTCCGATATAGGTAACTTTATAATAGGCGATACGAAAATGTGTATTTAGTATGATACCCTGGAAACAAGTATATGGTCAGTAGTTCAGGAAATTGAATTAAATTTCAGTGTTATTTATTTCCGTGGAGTCAAATTCGTATATGAGCCATACTGATCACATATAAAACACCATAAGTCCACATTTTGATGATATAAATGTAGGGGTATATGTAATATCTACTATTGGACAATTTCAGTACCAAATTAAACAAGTTAAAAAGCTCTTCAACGTTTGGAACGAATTTGGAAATATTAAAAAAATGAAATACGTAAAAATTCTGTTGAAATCTTAAAAATACAGAATATAGCCGTTATATTGGGGTCTCAACGACGTGAACCTATATAGGCTTTGTTCGTCATAAGCCATTACAATATTCAAATGCGAAACTTAAAAAAAAAATCGGTGAATAATGTAGCTAAAATCATCAAAATACCGAATATCGGGAGATACCGTTATATGAGGGCTATACGAAGACGTGGACCAGCACAGACAATTTTCTGTTTTAGGCTGTAGTATCTATTACGAACTTCAAATACCAAATTTGAAACAATTCCGGTGAATAATGTCGCTAAAATCATCAAAATACGGTATGTAAGGAGGTGCCATTATATCGGAGCTATACGAAGACCTGGACCTGCATAGACAATTTTCTGTCACAGGCTGTAGAATCCATTACGAACTTGAAATACAAAATTTGAAACAATTCCGGTGAATAATGTCGCTAAAATCATCAAAAAAAACCGAATGAATGGAGCTACCGTTATATGGGGGCTATAATATATAGTGGACCTATATAGAGAATACTCTCTCAGGGGTAAAATACACAGAAGAAGCTCCTTTTGTGGATTTTCTACCAACTTCATTGAAAAATTTGATTACAACAGACGGACGGACGGACGGACAGGGCTAAATCGTCTTAGAATTTTACGCTGATCAAGAATATATATATTTTGTCTACAGTTATTATTTCCATGAGTTACAAACGGAATGATGAACTTACTGAGAAAGTACCGAGCACTTGCTATCATATGTATAAAGAGTAGAGTGAAAGGTGGCTGACTGATCGATTTTGCATGTGGGTTAATGTTGGTTTGTGGGGGCTGCATTTTTGCAAATTTCAAACATAATTTTACTAAAAGTTACAAATTATGGTATGGTCAAGGTCAGTTTTGTTTATGATAAACAAAAAAGTGTAAATATAAAGATGTACATTTTGGAAATCTGTATTAGCAATGTACGTAACGTTACTAAAATTGTACCATTTATATTGGGTAAACGGATAGAGCCAGAATTGTGAAATTTACCATGAGCATAGATGTACCCATGGTTGTTCCCAGAAAATTAAACTTTATGTGAACGAAATGTACTAAAAACTACTTATGTACTACCGTGATCTTTTTTGATGGAATCTTGAAATTTTATATGGGAATTAAGTTTGGGAAGTTGCTCGACATATGTGGACATGGTTTTAGAAATGCATACTTAAGTTTACCAATCGTACCAAATGGTACTAAACTTCACATAGAGTCTAGAAAATGAGCTGTAATTATGAATACTGGTATAAGGATGTCAGTTAGTATAATACATTTGGATGATGATGTGGAAATGCGTGGTACTAAATTTGGTATGTTATATAGGATTATATAGGAAAGAACTAGAGTTCCGAAGAAGAAAGAGGTAACATTGTAGGTGTGTAGCATTTAGAAGAACAGGTAGATTTGGAAATTTGTAACATATAGATTACTAAAAGTACTATATGTTACCAAATTAGGTATATAGTGTAGGAAAAGAGCTGAAATGGTGAATACTGTTACTAGGATCAGTACGAGTGTATGGCGTTTGGATAAGCAGATGCATTTGGAAATGCATACTATGAAAGTATAAGTTTGGTATAGAGTATAGGAAGAGAAGAGGAATTATAAATTTCGGTATATGGGCCCAGTTCAAAGAGAGGCAGAGAGAGCGAGATAACTGGAATTATGGGTTTTTTATTCGGCTCACTGTAAGAACGTAGGGTGTTGACAATGCGGCGGTGTACTGAAAGTACTAAATTTGGCATAGAGAGTGTGTGAAGAGAAGTGGAATTATGAATTGTTGGTATACGTGTTCAATTAGAAGAATTTAGACAATGGGGTGTTTTAAAAAAGCGTACTTTTTGGTGTACGAAAATTACTAAATGGAGCTAACTTTGATATAATTGGTAGAAAGATAACTCGAATTGTGAATTTCGATATAACGATAAATGTGTGTGCATAGAATTTAGACAATGACGTAGCTAATGGAGTGATAGGGCTAAGATTATGAAATTCGGTATGATGATCACTGTGAGTGTATATGTCTAGGTATGAAAGTGGAATGGGATGTAGCTTGAATTGTAAAATATGAAATGTTGCACATAGTGCTTCTACATTAAATATCATAGATACTGGAAGTGTAAGAAGAACCATAATTGTTCAATTTTCTATGCTAAGCAATGTTGGATTGTTAATTGATAGGGCAAATTCTAAATGCGGCCCTGAAGCTCTCACATCAAATATCGGTATAAGGGATTCTCTCTTTTGAACTTTTATCACCCTTTGTTTTGTAAAATTTGAGATAGTTTTCCCACTTTAAATG